CGCATATATAACTTAACAATAATAGCACTAGTAAAATTGAATATCTAATTACCAATTATCAAAGCAAGCTAGCGCATTTAAATATTAGAGAAACTGAAGGCGTTACCTGCTGCCTCTATATCAGCAGTTATTGTTCCTAGCTTCACAGCCAGAGGAAACTTGGTCACATTGTAATGATTGACAGCATGGTCATTACCTCCACTACCATCCCAATTTCTTCTGCCACAGAGGATTGATCCATCAGTTAAATTTAACCAAAGATTGTCAGTCTTATCACACTTCTCACACTTCCACCCGGATCGAGGAACAATGACACCATTGTCAAGCTGTTTCAATTCCATGGCATGTTTACTAATGATTTTTGTATCAGCAGTCCAGGCAGCAACTTGCTCTTTCTTCTCCGCAGCCACATTCATAATAACAGCATCAACTGCTAATCTAACCTGGGAATGCAACAAAAGTGAAACTATCAATAGATAAAACTTGGGAAAAAGATGACATGCATTATATACAACTTGACAATACGTAAATGGGAAAAAGATTACTACCTTTTCTGGCAACTCCACTGATGGAAAAGGAAGAGTGACATAATCCGGCAAGATGACTACCTCATAGTTCTTCTCATATTCAGGTTCGTTGTTATCGAAACCCCCTTCAACTCCTACATGGAGAAAAGTGCAATTTGCAGAAAAAAATTATAATGCGCCGTTATGCATAATATAATGAACAATAGTATCAGAAAGAAAAGAAGCTCAACAATGCATTTGATGCATCTAAAAGACAAGGAGCAACAAACATCGAATAATCCGCAGTAGTCGGTAAAAAATGTACTGAGTAGAAATGAAGATGACTGCCGTAGTTTAAGTCCTAAGCCAGTTATCCTCTTCATTAAATGAAATCTAATAATTTATGAGATCTCAAACTTAATTTATTAAAGAAATTCTGATATGAACACAAACATATTAGTTACTAAACCTAAAAAACATGATCTCCAATCAAATGATTTATCGATAATACCACTGGTCCTCTTTCTAAAAACAAATATCAGGGTCCGCTTAATGAGTTTGCTGATGAACACATCCGTGCACAGACCATATTTTTGTAATATTATATGAAAACTTTCAAGTTTCAACAATAACATCAAGCATATAGTGAGTCCCGCCACTTAAACTCTAGTTCACTCAGTACCTATTGCGAGAAGTGTAGGTTTCTTTGATGGCCTATCTTCAGAAACCGGCTTTCGCGTCTCCTTGATGTGTAGATAAACCGTATTTCCAGTCTTCTCATAGTTCCAACCTACAAATTCCTTCCCAAAAGCAAGAAATGAATTCATATCCACATACAGTCCACCCTCTGATTTCTGCA